CCAATGGCATGAAAAAAGAAGCTCACATAAAGCCGGGGACCTACATAGAAGAAGGATGACTTCAGAGAAGTCAACAGTCACAAAGGGAAGGTACTGTAAGTGACTTCAAATTGACACTGGAACACCGCACTGACTTCTGAATGATGTCGTGACACTGTAAAGTGACCATTGAGTGACACAGTGACACCATAAATGATCCATGAGTGACACAGTGACATGAATAATGACACCTGAGTGACACAGTGACACCATAAAAAACATGTGAGTCTTCGAATGACACAGTGACACCATAATGACCTCAGTGACACCATGAGTGACACAGAGACACCATAAATGACACCTGGGTGACACAGTGACGCCAGAACTCACCTCTGTCTTCCACCTCGGACTCTGAGGAGCTGTCTGGCGGCGAGTCTCCGTCCTCATCTTCGTCATCGTCTTCCTCATCACCCAAGTCATCGTTGTCCTGTGCAGCATCCACAAAGCAAAAAGTTAACAACAGCAACAGCAACAACAACAACAACAATAACAACAACCACAGCAACAAAATAACAACAACAACAACATCAGTAATAATAACATAAGAAACAAAACATCTGCAACATGACAACATGAAAAACCTGACAGTTGAGAACATTCACAGGATAAAACGTCCCCCTTCCATAAAACAGTTTTATCAAAATCCAATAAGCGAAGACAAGACGCAAAATGTAACTCACAGGAAAACAAAAGTCTTACTCGTTTACCACAGAACAAAGTATCGAAAATGCTATCCCCAAATAGAAAGCACTTAATGTCGCTTGTCAGAGCATTAAGACACACTGTTTTTGTAGTTTTAGTAAGAGTTTTATAGCACTTGCAACACAATAAGGTCATATAAGTGCCGAAGAATACATTATGTACTACAAGAGAGAAGTAACAAACACAAAAAAAGAAGGAGGGGAGATAAGGACGTAAGATGTTTGATAGGAAAGAAGGAGCAAACCACAGCAGAGCACCCGCCAACCACTGGGACATCACCGAAAGCGTCAAATCACACAGAACTACAAACCCTCAACCGGACGAACAAATCAACCAAAAATTAAGCCCAGTAACACAAAACTCTTCAGGAGAAAGAAAAAAAATTTGTTTTATTCTTTTATTGATTGCACCTACTTCATGTACCTTTTCTTGCTTGTATCAACATTTACCATTCAAACTTTAATAAAGCATTTGTAAAAAAATTCCTGCATGCGGTAGAATGACGAATCAGATGTGAATGTACATTTATTTGTCAGCTTTACTTCTCTTTTCATATTGAATTTTAATAAGAGTAATATATATATAATTTACACTTTTTATGTATACCTGCATGTGTTTTAACGGTCCTGTAG